AGTTGCCGTCAAGAGTTGGCGCGCTCGCCTCCCCAGACGAAGAGCCACGGCTCATAAATAATTCACGAGCCCAGGGCTCTCTCTCCTTCTCCTCTCGCGGAACATCCTCGCGGCTGTTTACGCGCCAGATGCGCGTGTACCAAAACACTTAGGCGGGCACACACTGCCGTAAGTTAACCGGCGATGGTATATGGAACAGTGTCCTTCGACGCTCCTGTATACAATACACCGTACATATTATATAGTTTCGTGATTATGCGTAACAAGTGATACATGTATCCTCGCTTGGCTAAAACCGAAGGAGGTGGGGGGTGGAGGTGTGATTCGCGTTCTTAATCCCAGACCTCATCGGCGACGCGTCTCGGGAGCATAAAGCCTTATTAAATTCTTCGAGGCATCGGAGGAGTCTCTAATTGCGTAAAAATTCGTCTTCATAAAGAGACAGCGGAGCCGCTGGCCGCGAGGGAAGGGGAGAAAAAAAAACGGCCCCCCTCATCGGGGGAGTTGCAGAGCTAACGATCGAGGGTGGCGAGAGGGAGAAAGGAAGAGAGAAAAAAAAAAAGAGGAAAAGTTCTAACGAATCGCGGCTACGCGAACGAAAAATTAAAGCCGAGGCTTGCGAGTGTGTGTGCGCGTATACCTGTACAGCCGAGGGTGTGCAGAAAGAGAGAGGGCAAAGAGTCGTTGTCCAGCCGGCGACGCGGAGGCGGCGTGCCATGGAAACGGCGGCGGTGCGTTCGATACACGACGAGCGTCTTCTCTTCTCTGGACTCTTTTCCGCTTCTTATTCGCCCTCTCTTCGGTTGCTCCGTGCGGCGGCTGCTAAACGACGTGTCAACACGCGCGCCTCCCCCCCAACGGACGCGAGGGGAATTTCCTAGCGGATCTCTCGAATTATTATTTTCCGCCCGCCTTATACTTCGCGTGGGTACAGCTTCTTCCTCCGCGGCCACATTCACTTTCGGAAATGCTACTCTGCCGCGCGGTCCCGACTTTTCCTCCTTCACCCTAATACGTGTGTGTACGAGTTGGGGCCAACCCTCCGCATATACACCCGAGAACAACCTAAAAGGTACAAACGCCACAATGGAAAAAAATATATTCATCATACGCGATGCATAATGTACTCTCGAGGTGGCAACGAAATATCATAATAGGTGGAAAATTGCACGAGTGCACTCCAACCTCGACGTAGGTGCTTGTTCTCTTGACTTTCGTTATTTGAACTTCATTTATTACGCGTATAACGGTATCGCCAGTCTCGGCTCGCAAATTATCGACAGGATATGAATGTTACGCTCTCGCTGCCCCGTATATTTTTTTTTTCCTTTAACGCGATAACGAGCGCACTCGAAAAGGCACCGAGATGTCCTTCACGTCCCCCTCCCCCTTTCAATTACATCTCGTGCGCGAGTCCATTGAGCACAGAAATCAAATGCCGGGCTTTTATATATATATACGTATATCAAAGCTATACAATTCTGACGCTAATCCAGATCATCCCTCTTTTTATCTCGGCGCCCGCTGCAACTATTTCCATCGAGGGACCGACGACGCTGCTGATGAAAAACCGGCGCGCAATTTTTCCGAGGACTTTACCGATGAGGGGAGGGGAGGGGGGGTGGGAAAAAAAGAAATAAAACAACATTCCCCGCACAGTGGCGCGTTCGGCGTTTCGATTGATTGGTGTGTCTGTAGGTTGCGGCCAAAGTTGCAATAACCTCTCGAGGAGAGTAATGCAGCGCGGTTAATCAAGCTGATGGGTCTAATCGATGGGCCAGGGGTAGTTTTGCAGCTGGGGGTGCCGGAAAATGGAAGGAAAATATTATCTTCGCTCTCGAGCCCGTGGCAAATGATCGTCGCACCGGTCACGATTTATTGTCTCAAACTTTTGTCCTTTTTTTTTTTTCTTTTTTCGTAGAGACACGGATGGCTCCCGAGATTTTCCCTCCTCCGTCCATTTTCAGTTGCCATCCCTTCGTATTTCCCCTCCCCCCCTTTCTCTTCTTCTTTGCCCACGGACTGTCCCGAGTCAATCGTGCACGCTTTCAGGGAGATGTCAGGAGCAAACCTAATTACTGTCAGCCTCGATCGTCCATCGCGTGGAAATCGACAGTAAAGAAGGCACGTCGTAATGAAAATCCGTCTGTAAATGTAAATTGCGTTTGTGGATATTTTCTCCTGCTGGAATACTTTTTTTTCTTTTTATTCAAGATTTGCCTGTAATGCCACTCTCGCCGTTAAAAGTGCCATAAAACATGCAGAACCTTGACGCCTTGCATACTTAGCAAAGTAGATATCAATAACAGTAATCAATGGTACTAGGTAGCACCTAGAGCCAGTGGGATCTACTAAGGTGTGTATACGCTTTGTTGTAGTATATGAGCAGCTATAGACTTTGTTGTTCGCATCCATAGGTACTAAAAAAAAAAAAAAAAAACTGTATGAAAATGAGTCAGCTTATATATCATTTCCAGCACCAGGAAATATTATCAAAATTTACAATGATACCATTGCTATAACATTTTTATACGTTATACATTATGTTCAGAAAATTTATTTAATAGTGCGTATTTGCTCACTATTTTCCGTTCAATATAGAGCACAGAAAAATTAAATAGTTACGACGGCTAAGTTTATTTACCACTAATCAAACGAGAACTTTTTAAGTTATTAAAGCGAAAATTTCCTCTAAATATTAATATTACAATTATGATTTCTTTTAAACTTTAGATTCTTGATATGAATTTCAGTCTTATTTTCACTTAATTCAGTTTTTTGACGGGTATGAGACTTTGTATTGTTTCATCACTGTACTATTCCAAGAATCGTGACGTATGCAATCGCGGTGCCTTTTGCATAACTCAAACCGTGAATGTTTATTTAGTACTGACAGCAATTTATACAAAAATATTCTGTTTCTACCATTACTAATTTCAAACATTATGTATTACTTTAAAATAATTACACAACCAATGCTCTAATTTTCTAGGTTTTAGCAAAGCAATTGATTCTGTGAAATGTAAGTAGTTGTTAAAAAAATTAGCTGTTGCAGGCCTTGGCTTACTGCTATAATGAGGTGGTTCTGGTCATGTGTCAGTGAACGTAAGACCTATACTCAAATCAAAAAGCCGCAATCTTTAATCCGTTTGATGGTATACCTCGAGGATATTTGTATACGGAAAGATTCACACCTGTAGAATAATTTTAAGAAAACCAAAATTAATTCCGAGATAACATCCGAGCATCCGTTAATAACTAGGAATAGCAAGTGAGATCAAGATTTTTAACTATAGGATGAATATTTTAAATTTACAATTTTGTTAAATTTTTTTTGATGCGATGTTTCGTATACGAGAAAACAATGAATGACTTGTGAAAGCGCTAAAAAAATAATTCATTTTAAAACTACTAAAGCAACTTTTTGCCCTCATAGACGAAAAATTTTTTATTCAGTGAAATATTAACACGTCTGATAATATAAATTATATGCAAATGAAAGTTTATGTTGGGATGGAAAAGTAGTTCTAAAAACTATTTACAGAAAACTTAGTACGAATGAATTTGTTTTTCTTTAGTGAATAGATAATTGATGACAAAATACGCCACAGTCTAGGAGGATTTGTAAAATCCAAAATTTGGAATCAGAGCATGAAATTACTGAGCACATTAACAACACGACCCAAATTAATGGCCATTGACGTATCATCAGCGAGAAATCCTCACTACTTAAAAATACCACACGAGCCAATAAAAAGGAAGCGAAGGTAAAATAGCCTCACCAGTAATCAACACGTGTAACGTTACCTCCTCCCCCCTCTCCACATCAAAATGACTTCAACATTTTGTGCTTGTCCCCGAGAAGCTTTTATTATAACAGGGTCGCGCAAGCCTTTAGTGCGCAAAGAATAACGTCTCGCGCTGTCGCGCGTCGATCACCGACCAGTCGCTCGTCAGTGGTCACTTGGCTTGAATGTCCACACAGTGTTATTTTCTACGGAAAATTTTTTAATCTCTCTCATCACATGAAAATTGTTAGGTACAAAAAAAAATTCGACTCGGGCAGTTCACAGTGGAAATAATTTTTTTTTTCTTTTATACAACTTTCTGTCACGTACAAGACAACAATTATTTTGGTATCGGCAGAGTTCCAAGAGCGGCTAATGCACGCACTATCTTTAAATCTATCAAGTCTCAAGTCATCGACACATTACTAGGTGAATTGCTGGAAGAGTCAAAAGCAAGAACATCGAAGATGAGTCGGGTGGTAAAGTACGGCGCCGCAGGGGCGGGCTTGTTTGTGTTCGGAGTGATGTTTGGCTGGATGATATTTCCCAAGATTTTAAAATCCCAAGTGCACAAGGTAATAATGAAATAATTGTGTTTTATTGGTTACATGTATAGAATGACTTGTCGGTCATGGAATGAAAATTTAACTAAAAATTTGAATAATTGGCGAAGTAAATTTTAAAAAAGTAAAAATGCTTTAACGATGACAGTAAACATTATAGAAAAATGTTTATACGTCTATGAAATGTTTAAGCACATGTTGACATTTATTGGAACATATCATTCTTCAAAATTATTTTTATATTCAAAATTTAAAGTTTAGGAAGTTTAATTGTATATACGCCACAGTCTAGGAGGATTTGTAAAATCCAAAATTTGGAATCAGAGCATGAAATTACTGAGCACATTAACAACACGACCCAAATTAATGGCCATTGACGTATCATCAGCGAGAAATCCTCACTACTTAAAAATACCACACGAGCCAATAAAAAGGAAGCGAAGGTAAAATAGCCTCACCAGTAATCAACACGTGTAACGTTACCTCCTCCCCCCTCTCCACATCAAAATGACTTCAACATTTTGTGCTTGTCCCCGAGAAGCTTTTATTATAACAGGGTCGCGCAAGCCTTTAGTGCGCAAAGAATAACGTCTCGCGCTGTCGCGCGTCGATCACCGACCAGTCGCTCGTCAGTGGTCACTTGGCTTGAATGTCCACACAGTGTTATTTTCTACGGAAAATTTTTTAATCTCTCTCATCACATGAAAATTGTTAGGTACAAAAAAAAATTCGACTCGGGCAGTTCACAGTGGAAATAATTTTTTTTTTCTTTTATACAACTTTCTGTCACGTACAAGACAACAATTATTTTGGTATCGGCAGAGTTCCAAGAGCGGCTAATGCACGCACTATCTTTAAATCTATCAAGTCTCAAGTCATCGACACATTACTAGGTGAATTGCTGGAAGAGTCAAAAGCAAGAACATCGAAGATGAGTCGGGTGGTAAAGTACGGCGCCGCAGGGGCGGGCTTGTTTGTGTTCGGAGTGATGTTTGGCTGGATGATATTTCCCAAGATTTTAAAATCCCAAGTGCACAAGGTAATAATGAAATAATTGTGTTTTATTGGTTACATGTATAGAATGACTTGTCGGTCATGGAATGAAAATTTAACTAAAAATTTGAATAATTGGCGAAGTAAATTTTAAAAAAGTAAAAATGCTTTAACGATGACAGTAAACATTATAGAAAAATGTTTATACGTCTATGAAATGTTTAAGCACATGTTGACATTTATTGGAACATATCATTCTTCAAAATTATTTTTATATTCAAAATTTAAAGTTTAGGAAGTTTAATTGTATTGCGTTTAAAATTATGCGAAATGCATACAATTCTGAATTAACGCCACTTTTAAAAACTTGTTAAATTACAAGTGAACAGTAGGTGTTTTTAAATTTTATTTAAAAAGTTTGTAGAAATACAAATATGCGAAAACTTTAAAAAATTAGAGCTTATGATTTTTTTTGTCAAAATAAATATTTTTACAAAAAAGGTTTAAAGAGTTATTCTTTTTTTTATCATTGTAAAACTCTCTCCATGAAAAAGCGGAAACTGTTTAAAAAATAATGTACTCGATGACGTACGCAACATTGTATCACTTTTACACTTACTGTCTCATCGATCGCATGCAGAATTCTTTTTTACACCGCTAGCAAAGGTGTGGGAGCTTCGCACGTTAAACCAGCCTATAGAACTAATTTTCTATGCGATTCTCCGTCAGTGCCATTGTCGTCTAATATAAAATACTCCTTGAACTTATAATACAAAGTTGCGGTGGAATATGGATGACAATAAGTAGCACAGTCATAGTAAGAAAGACCGTTAAAAAAAAAACATTTACTTGAAATTTTATACTCAAAGTGAAAACAAAAATATTTTACTTAAAAAAAAATGTAGTGACTCAATAATATTTAGGTACTCGTAAATGTACACTTCATAAATGTCCTCACTTTTCTCTACATCTTTTGATTAATCACCAAAAGTTTTCTCATCTGTGCCTAATCGGAGCTATAACTGAAGTTCATTACAATAATTTGCTTGAATCATTACGTAAAGACTTTGATAGTTTTAACTCTGAAGTATTGATTTTGGGAAATTATACCTAATCAGATATTCCATTCATCTAATAAAACGTACTTTAACTACAATTTGGTAAAAGCTCTCACACGAGTAATCAATTTTTTTTTCTCTTGACAGCAAGTAAATTTAAAAGAAGGCTCGCAAGTGCGACCTTTGTGGAGTAAATTCCCATTTGCTTTAGAATTTCGAGTCTACTTATTCAACGTAACGAATGCAGACGATATAAAGAATGGCGCGAAACCTATTCTACACGAAGTGGGACCTTACTACTTTGAGTAAGTGAATAGACGTGTTTTGGGGTACTTACATTTATAATCCAAGTACAAACATTTTCTGCACAGAAAGTGGCAGGAAAAAGTTGACCTACAAGACCACGAAGAAGACGACACGGTAGACTTCAGCATCAAAAACAAATGGATTTTCAGACCCGATATGAGTGAAGGACTCACCGGGAACGAAGAGCTGATTTACCCTCACATTTTTATACTGGCCATGGCCATGGGAGCAGTCAGAGAAAAACCTGCCATGCTGCCGATTGTCAGTAAGTTGAAATTTGTGGGCAAATTCAAGTATACTTCACTTAACCAAATATTCTTTAATTTTACAGATAAAGCCATCAACAGCATATTTAAAAGTCCCGACAATGTGTTTGTCAAGGTTAGGGCAATGGACGTAATGTTTGACGGTTTACCAATCGACTGTACTGTTCAAGACATAGCTGGCTCGGCAGTTTGTGCCATGGTCAAAGAAAATGCCGATGAATTGATGAAAGACGGCGAGAATAAATACAAATTTTCTCTGTTCGGAGCGGTTTGTCAAAATACATTAACACTTTTTAACGCTATAGAGAACAGTAATTGACATGTGTCAAAGCTTGTAATGACGGATTTACCTTGACTTTTAGAAAAATGATACGGCATCGAAGAAGCGGCTTCGAGTATTGCGAGGAGTCAAGCATCAAATGGACGTCGGAGTAGTGGTGGAATACAATGGGAAAAAAAATATATCTACGTGGGACGATGAATATTGTGATACCTTTAATGGTACAGATGGTACTGTTTTTCATCCTTTCTTCGGAGAAAAAGAAGACATTGTTACGTTTGCTCCTGATATCTGCCGAAGCTTATCCTTTACACATGAAAGGAAAAGTTCATACAAAGGTAATACTTGATCAGGATTCTGTATATATGTGCATACATATATTGTATACAAAGATAAAGTATTACATAAGTATGATCCTTTGACTATTTTGGTAGGTTTCCACACTAGCCGTTACACAGGATTTTTAGGGGATCCCAACACAATGCCATGGCAAAAATGTTACTGCCCATCTCCTGACAAATGTTTGGGAAAAGGAGTAATGGATATATACAAATGTACAGGAGTTCCTCTTGTACTTTCTCATGCACATTTTTATCGAGGCGATGAAAGTTATTTAACAATGGTAGACGGACTCAATCCTTCGAAAGTAAGGTTTTTTTTATTGCATATGATATACATTGTGCTTTTATTGATATTTAAAATCACTTCAATCAGGAGAAGCATGATTTATTCTTGGAATTCGAGCCATTCACTGGTACCCCGTTACTAGCAATGTCACGAATACAAATGAACATAATGATTCACAAGGTGGAAAAAATAAAGATAATGAAAAATTTTCCGGAAGCCATGTTACCTCTTCTTTGGATTGAAGAAAGCGTTGGATTGCCCGACTGGCTGTTAAAACAAGTTAAGAGTGGTCTAAGAATGGTTGCCATTGCAGGGTAAGTTTAAAACAACGGCTTTTATACATATTTTTCGAACCAATTAATATTTTAACAAACATTTTTTTTTTCCTCAAGCTACTTAAAATGGTTGATGATTTTCGGAGGACTCATTATGTGTGGGTTCGCTGTATTTTTTTATTTCCATGGTGCTCAAAAATCAAGTAATCGTATACAACTCCCAAAAGTTACTTCGAACAATAGCAGCAACTCAGGTAGTGTTGACAAAAAAATATCACCCTTGAGTGTACGTACATTACATGCAGCTCAAGTGCCAGCAGCTCTTGACTAACTATGTACTGGAATCAAGGGACTGCATACTCAACTAGTCTCGATAAAAAGTTCAAAGGCTTTTCGAGACTTCGAGTCTCTTAAAGCTTTTTAAATTAAAATTTTTCAAAAACTTTTCATACCAACGAATCTCCTGATGAGTGAAAAAACATGTACTGTTATGTTTTATTGTAAAATTTCTGACTTTACAAGATAGTACAGCTGTGCCTCACTTTTTTTTAAATTAAAATTGTTACAGTGTCTTAATCGATTTTAAGATTTATTTAATTTAATCTAATTCTTTCATCTCTTACATTACTTAAACGTTGTATTTTCTATAGTCGTTATTATGTAAAGGATATACTACTAAATAATTAATTTTTTTTTTGTTAAAAATTTTTTCAATTTGAGCTACAATGCTCCAATACTTTCTAAAACTTTATTAAAACTATGGATATCCCAAACGTTAAAAAAAAAAAAAAAACTGTGCCTAGTGAAGCCAAGTAATTTGCTTAAGCAAACCAAGTAACAAATAAAGAGTCTTCGTCGTGGGACCAATACATTTTTAAGCAAGAAAAAGATTAAAAATCCATACGATATTTGAAAAACTCAATCGTACTGATCAAATTAATGTAAGCACCATTATTTTAATAACATATCAAGAAATGTCTATAAAATGTTAAATGTCACTTAAAGCGAATAGAGTCTTGTTAAACTAGTTTTCCAACTACTTTTACTTGTACACACAATTCGTAAATTTATAATACTCATGTAATTCATAAAATAAAACAATATAAACTTTGCCATAAAAGTAATTATTAAGTAATTAACGCTATTATTTTGAAACCATCTTAAATGTTTGAATGCATTGAGACAGTTTTCTTCTATAAATGTATCAAATTATTAATGTATAGATATATAAGTTAGAAAATAAGCTGATTTGTTGGGTGTTTTAGCCTTATAAAAATAAAACAATGTATAATTAACTTAAACATAAATTTCAACACGTATAACATTTTTTAACAAATAAACCAATTGGATATTCACCGTCTGTCACTGTAAATTATTCAATCACTCCCTATTTAAAATTTATTAGCAAAATAAGTAAAAAAATAAAAAATTTATCATTAAGTTCAGTGTAAAGTTTAACCGTTGAGGGTAGAAAATCATAGGGGGACAGGTGACAAGTGCGCGCATGTGTGTGTACATCCACGGACTCGAGACCGAAGCCTAGAACATCAAAGAGGGGGCTCGTGCGGCTTTTTTTTTCTTCTTCCTCCTCTTGCCGCTTCGCAGAACAAATGTAGCGCATAATTTAAAGAGCAGCAGATGCTCCGTACCACTCGACGATAAATACCTTCGACGGATCGACCCATCGATCTGCGGCGAAGCGTTCCCGCACGCTCGTCCAACCGACGAGATTTTCGCGGCGCACTCTTTTATCGTTTAATCACCTTAAATCCCACTGCTGATAGCATATATATATGTATAGCCCCTTTAAACGCTGAGTACATACTCCCACCAGCTGCTCGTCGTCCAACCACGTTACACTTATAATCATCGAAAGTTAGAGCGAAGAACTTTATCACTGCCGCGAAGAAATTTTTTTTTCTCTCTTTACTTTTTACGAGCTGAGTTGAACAGTTTCATGGTATTACTTTGTATTTACTTGCTCGATAATGAAGAACTTTGTTACTCAATAACAATTACGATCGAGTGGAATTCCAGTACTCATACGCATCATTCATCGTAACGTCCTTGTAATTTCAAACATTTTGTGGAAATTGATTTTATGAACATTTTCAACATTGAAGCAGTTTTGCAAGGGCTTATCGCTCTATTATTTGCTGAACAGTATTAATTCTAATTCAGAATAATGATGTACATGTAAACGTAATGACATATATTTTACTACTAGATAATGAAAGAAAGTAACAACTAAAATTCCTCAGAAAAAAAAATTCTCTAATAGTGTAGTTTACGCGAACGCACGCGAGAAACACTGATTTTGGGGTGCTCGAAAACACTAAAATTATGATGAGGGACTGCGACCCGAGTATTAAGCGCCCTCTCCCGAAATGACGAGGTGGCCGAGTGGTTAAGGCGTTGGACTGCTAATCCAATGTGCTCTGCACGCGTGGGTTCGAATCCCATCCTCGTCGAAATATTTTGTTGATTTAAGGTCTTTTTTCTTTTTTTCACAACAATTGAACTTGAGGAGAAATTTTTCAGTTTTATTGAAAAAACCGCTCAAACATGATCGGTAGCTCGTAGAACCCACCGCCAAACCCTTGGGGCGAACTTATATGCACGTAAAATAGTTTGAAAGATCGTCTTTGGCATCAACAACTGCTCGTATCAAACGGATATTTGTTTGGAGAAGCGTTTCTCGAATCAACGTGGGGGTCGTATTCACTCATCTCAAGAGCTATCCAATCGGTTTTTGGAAGGAGGCCCACACACTATACGTATACATACACAATGGCCTCTTTGTGTGCTACATGTGCCTGTTACTTGACGCCTCTTAAACGCGGGTACATATGTATATATATATATATATATATATCCATACTCACTTACGCGTATACACAAATACCCATTACTCTCGCGACATGTATACACATCCAACAGTCTGGAACAAGTTCGTTGCACCGCTGTCCAGAAGGTGCCCGCATCGTAGTATATACAGTGGACGATGTTCACATTGTGACCGACTTGGCCTCGTTTGGCAACCCAAACATCCTCACTTTATCGTATACATACACGAGGTTCGGGTTGGGGACAGGGGCATTGTTTTGAGCACCACAACTTTGCCGACTAAATAATGTTTTAGGGTCACAACAGAGAGTGTTTTCCTCTCTCGTCTTCGTCTCGTTTTGTTTTTCAACAATTTTTTACGCTCTCGAGGAGTTACGACGACGGAAGTTGAGAAAAACAAATGTCGCAAAGAGGATTGTTATTAAAAAAAAAAAAAAAGTTATTCTTGGATGATGCAGACGAAAGGTGAGCTAAAAGAAAACGTAGACGCACAGAGTTGGGACGTGTAATTCGTTTCACGCTCGGCAAGAGTCTCGATGTCACGTGTAGGACTGGGAAATAAGTTGAAAAGGTACATGCACGTATAGAGAGAGAGAGAGAGAGATACTTGGAGTCGATCTTCGCAAGGGATGCTGTCGTCGACGTCTCTTCCCTTTCAGCGACGTATAGGCACAACAAAACGAAGGGTCGCCCAGGGTGTCTTTTTCCTTTCCGAACGAAGAAAAAATAAAATAAAATAAAATAAAGAGCCAGAGGTAGAGAGGAGAAGGAAAAAGAAAAGGGCAACCCCCTACCGTCTCCCTTGTAGGCTCTGCATTCCCAAGGGTCGCGTCTATTTCCGAAAAGGCGAATGGTGTACGCGTATAGAAGTGATCCTGTCCATAGGTATATATACGGATTCGCGCGTCACGACTTTCCCGGAGCTAATGTATTCCGCGGGTATAATAATGCAGATATACACGTCAGAAGAAAGTACAAGGTTCATCGGGTCCTCCTTCCACGGCTGTGGCCTATTACTCATCTCGCTATGTGCTCCCGTTACACACCCACCCATGCACCACCTCCGGGCTTTTCTCCTGTCTTTCGCGCGCGTAATATGACTTTTCCCTGCAATATGACTCCGCGAGTCGCGTATAGGTACGCGCGCCACGAGATGTACGACGACTCGTACATGAGCACAGCAAAAAAATTTTAATAATCCAGCTGGAAAACCCGCAAAGCTCTCCCGCAGCAGCCCTCTTGTTCCCGCCCGGGAAATAGTCCCCGAAAATATTGCCGTTTTCCAGCTTTTCGGGGCTTCGCGTGTATATAATATATTATGTGTGTGTGACAATAGTATATACAACGGCTCCCCCACATACATCAGAATTTTTCCACCCGTCCGCACCGGAATTTTTGCGCCCCCAAGAATTTTTCCCATTTTCGACTGTTTTGCATATGAGTTTCATCGTACACGGACCATCGCGCATCGCAGTAGCCCTTTTTTTTCCACATATTTACGCTTGAGCGGTGTTTCCGTTTCCCCCACCCCTCCCCAAATGATCCGATGCGTTAATTGACATTTTTTGGTAACCAAAATTGATTCAATACGTATACATGAAAGCTTTCTCGCGTTATGTACTTTCGGAGCGAGCGACGCACAAGAAAGAGCATACAAAAGGTATATAGACACAGTGCAGGGGGTAGGTTGGCGTGTTTGACGATTTAGCTCTCGAGCACGAGAGACGGTGGTAGAAGCAGAAGAGCGAGACAAGGAGGGAACAAAGAGGGAGAGAAAGCTCCGCTTGTGCATATACTACGACATGTAGCGGTGTATAGCGCATCGGATGTATATGTATAGCGGGCGCGTGCTCGAGAGATTGTGCACGTGGCTCGGTGGGCTCCCTTCTGGGTGCATATACCTATGCTATCCCTCTCTTGAGGCATAATTGCTCGTGAAAAGAGTGCTCGACGATTATTGCGGGGGCTTAATGAGGGAGTGGTAATTGACTGCGTCGAGAGAGCCGCGGAGGCTCTGTCCCGGAAAAATTCTTCATTCCTCGCGGATGCGCCCTACGTGCAGGCTTTGTCCGCTGCTTCAAAAATTGATTAGTGCGTGCACCAACCACGGATCGATATTTCCTTTTTTTTCCAATTATTGTTTGCCCCACTTTCTTACGCTTTTTTTATCCAACCCCTTGTATAAATGCATACCATCGTTGATTTGTGCCGCCGAAAGTTCGTAATGCGCTGCATCGTCCATTGGGAGATAAAGTTACGCACTTACCGTAACGTGTGTGTATATATACGCAGGACGGGCGCGTAAAACTGCGCTCAACTCTTTGTATTTGACTTGGATATCGTTATTACGCTAATTGCAAGTAGATGAAGCACCCATGGAAGAAACCCTAACTTTTTTTTTCTACCATTACCGTGAATTCGCCTTTTTTTAAAAGTACCCAACGGAGTGTAATCTAATGGAAAATTCACAGTTTGCCCTAGATTAAATAACATTACAACGAATTTTACATACATCACATATATATATATACATAGTTGATGCAAGACCAGGGCAATGTACAATTTTCACGCAATCCCCAATTAAGCGGATCAACGCAAGAACGATAATTGGCCGTGGCTGCGTTGGCTC